GAAGCAATTAAACAATGAAGCATTTAAGCTACAACAGTGCAAAGCTGACCACCACATTTCATTAATGGTTTAAATTATTGTGATGTATAAACATACAAAAACAGTATTTATGCGTAGATTGCACTATATCTTACATTGTAAAGAGATAATACTAAGACATTTTAGTAGTATGTTTTTCAACTCTTGGTTTGATAGCATCAATTTTCATTGGTTTAGTTTTATGTTTTACTGTGATGTACTGGAATCTTACATTAAGGGGGAAATCTATTTGATGCAAATTGTGTTTAAATATCATTATAAAGTTAGAAACATTAAAACAGTAATAAACTAAAACTACAGTGCTTTCTTAGTCTTAGGGATTTCATCCGTTTTTGTTTGATCCAACACTACAGATCAATCTGGAAAACAATTAATCCTGCGTATGTTTTGTTCAATAGAAGCAGACATGAAAATATGTGGCTAAGAGGTGGAGCTTTTTTGTCCTACCAGATCGCTCTCTTCTTCCTCCTCCCTCTTGGTTTCTTGGGGAACGTCTTCGGGGTTAAAGTCCTCCATTTCAACCTAAAAAGTCAAGCAAATCAAAGTTTAGCTCAGAAAGTCACTGACAAAAAGGGTTTCAACTTCCAGCAGTAAAAAAATCTACTAAAACAAAAAGAATTACCTCCTCAATGGCAGCATCTTGAAGCAAGGATCGCACATCCAGGCGCACCATATGACGAGGAGATGACTCCCAGTTGTTGGACATCTGCATATAAAAAAGTCCATTAAAAATAATTGTTTCAGCCAAAGATATGAGAACGTTGCCTTAACTATCTTAGTATTTGAGATCAAAGAAGTGATCATTTTAACCTTTGTTATATCCTTAAGCTTGCGCCCATGGACATTCCTCTTTGCACACGTTTGTGTGTCAGCCGTGATTTCAGCTACATACACCTAGAAATGGAAGAGAAGTTAGTTTTGTTTTTTTTTTCAGCAGGAACCAAACTGAACAACTTTTGATTATTTTTTTAATCTAATTTATTAGATTTATTTGATAGGCAGAGACACACATTAACATAGACAAACTGAATAAAACAGCTGTCCAATTCTTGTATCATCTTGCTTATAGAGTAAGCTAATTTGTAGCATGTGTCTCCATTTAGAAGATGTACTAATTGAAACAACTCACCTCAAAGCCTTTTGTTTTGGCTGCGCTCCAGAATTGTTCAAAATGTTTCACTCGGTCATTAATGGTGTCCAGAATAATAAAAGGGAAGAATCCGTCATCAAGAGTTTTCTTAAATGTTTTCAGCATGCTGCTCCTGTAGGTATCCTCCATCTCGGGTTCATATTCATATTCAAGAACCTGAAAGACAGTTGTTGAGCACCTCATCATTTACACTAAACCAAAAACAATTCTGATTAAACTCATCACAATCCATCAGATTAAACAGTTTGATTGATCTCATGTGCACCAGACCAACCTTAGTTTTGACTCTCTTCCCGGTGTCTGGGTCTTTCTCAACTTTCTCCACCTCCGTCATGAAGTAATCATCCAGAACAAGAACTCTTGGAGGTGCGCCACCAGATTCAACTTCCTTGTCCTAAATAAATTTCGAATGATTTTCAAAATTAGTTTGTAACCAAAATAAAGCCATTTATGTAATCTTTTGTTTCCTCTAAATACAAGTCAATTAATGAAAATATTGATGATCAAAAATAAAAGGAATAAACACTTGAAATATGTGTATTCAATCTATAAAACATGCAACTTTCACTTTAGAACTGACTTACTGAAATAAACTCATATTTCTAATTTACTGAGATACACATTTTTTTTTTTTTATGTATTAAAAAACAGAATTACATACCCGTATAAGCTTTGCAACGTGGCTTTTTCCACTTCCTGGGAGGCCCCTCATTATAATAACAATCTGTTAAAATACAGTTTTCTTAAGTCCTTGCTCATATATGTTAATGTTACATGAATGAATATTGCAGTAATTAATTAATACCCTCTCAGGTCGAGATAATCTGCCAGGTGCTTTGAGGATGTCATCAATATTTTTAATTTCAGGCTTCTTCTCGACTCGAGGAGGAGGCGGTGTTGGTGGAGGAGGCAGTGGGGCGGCAGAGTGTGGTCCTCGGTCCTCTGGATAACCTCTTCTTTCCACTGAATGGCAATATTTCCATTTCAACAAATTCAAAAATTTCATTAATACCTGAAAGTTTACTTGGCTGTATTAGGCCCAAGTATTTGTAACATTTTAAAGAAATCCTTTAACCTTCAGAGTTACATTCATTACTCCCCAAAAATTGTTCAAACTAAAATTGTAAATAAACACATGCTTTAATAATGCATGAAAACGCTGAATAAGAAATGCTAATTAACATATGTGTGTCCAACGTACAGTAAGGCGAGCTGTAACGCTCAGGCCCGATGCGGTCTGGTCCAGAGCGCTCATACAGAGGTCTGTCATAGCCAGGCCTTCCATAATAGTCGTCTAGGTCACGACTGCCACTTCGCTCCTTGTCTCTTTCCCTGTATGCCGCTCGAGGAGGTAGTGGAGACCTGCACATAAAATGACCATTTTTAATTTCTTTATTATATCCTTCTTACTTCAAACCATCAGAGTCAAGACAAATCAAGACATCTGACACGATTTGATGGTACCTTTCTTCAACCAAGGTATGTGTGCTTGAATAAAAAGCAGAAAAATAATACCACTTAAGTAGAGAAGCTGGAATTTTTTAAAACAGAAAATAAGGTTGAATATTCAGCAACAAAGGACATACCTCTCATCTCTTTCCCGTGAATGATAGCGATCCCTCTCATATCTGTCTCTTTCATATTCAGGAGGCGCATCTCGGTACAACTCCCTCTCTCTGCTGTACTCCCGGCGATCCAAATAGGGGTCTGGTCGCCGGTCATAATATGGATCTCGGCTGTAGGAATCTCTGAGACTGAGTGGTTCTAGGAATTTAGTTTAAAGAAAACACCAGTTAAAGAGTTTAAAAAATCAACACTTAATAAAAATGATGAGAAAATTATTGCAACGTGAACCCTACCTTTATCATAGAGGCGATCTGATGGGATTGGGTCAGGTCTTAATACTATTCTCTCACCATATGCAATCCGCTCTACAGTTGCCCCGAGCTCTGAAAAATGACAATCAGCACATGTCATTACACCAGCATCACCGATTTAACACCTAATATGTCTCTAAAGTATCAATTAAGGTATTTGTTTTTCAGGACATACCATGCCCATGTCCATAATCGACCGTTTTAGGAATTACTGGCGGTTTGGCTGAAGCAGACAGTGACGACTGGTAATCTACAGCAGCAGCAGGTTTGCTTTCCCAAGACGCTGATTCAGGAGCAGCTGGCTGAACAGCAGCACTCATACCCTGGTGAGAAAAGATGTCATTACTTTCAAAGCTCTTACATCAAACAGTAAGGTAAAAAAAACTAAAGGGAATTAAGTTTCTTTCCTTTATTAAATTTCTCATACAACCAGAAGTGATTCTGAATAACAAGGTAGCTCTCAATTACCTTTAAAACATTCCTAACATCTGGTGGGATCTCCAAGCCAAGGAGACCTGCAGGTAGCTCTGTCAGAAGGTCACTGGATGCAGGTTGTGGTTTTTCAGTACTAGGGGTCTTTCCCTCTTGCAACTCCCTTTAAAAAAAACAAAAAAAACAAGCCAAGTTCATAGTTGCCACCTCAGCATGAGGGATTGCAGTGCGTTTCTGTAATGCTGTCATCCTCAGGTCAATTCAGGACCAAAATTGCAACATTTGTTATATTTTTGGTCTGCTTTCACTCTGCTCTGTGCCAAATGAACCATATTGTTTGAAAAACCTCACCCCCCTGTTCTGTGGTGGTGCTTCACCAATAACCACTGAGGGAAACAACACAAAATGTCTGATGTGCTACAGTCCACTTCCTGCTTTGTGGAGAGGTCTCTGGGCCACTTGGCATTCAAATATGTATTCAAACAAGAGTTTATGTCAATCAAACTGAGAGCTAGGTTTTTAGCCAAACCAGTTAGCTTTTTTAGAGTGATCACAGCTCCTAAAACAAATTACATTTTTTAGGCTGGATTTTTATTCTGGGCCAGTCAGCCACTCATCATTACCATATTCTCAAACAAATAAAATTAAATAGAAGACAATAAATTACCTTATTTGCTTAAGTTCTTGAGCAGCTTTCAGGATAATCTCATGCTGCCTTTGAGAAAGGGCAAGCACATTTGCCCCGCTTGTTCCTTGGGTTGCTGCTTCAACTGAGCTTCCAGGCAAGTCTGTTGCAGATCCAGCAGGTGGTGGCTCTTCCTTGCGCTCCTCATACTGAGGTCTAAGGTCACCATAATCGGGATATGTCCTCACTGGTAATGGAGAACGCCTAGAAGGTCTATCCCAGTCTGAAGCCCGCAGGTGTGGCGGTTCATCCAGTCTGTATGGGGGCTCATCCCTATAGTCAAGAATTCGTAGCTCTCCCCTTGCCCTATCGTTTTCATCATATGGATACGAGCGACGTCTCTCTGTTTCTGGATCCCAGCGTTCCTCTCTGAGGTGCGGTGGGGGCGGCATGCGGGGAGGATACTCTCTTTCAGGAAGAGGACGATCTCTGTCCCACTCCCCCTCACGGAACTTGGCTTCATGGCGATAGTCTTCAGGTGGAAACTCTGGAGCTGGAGGCCGGCGGTACTCACCCTCACCTCGATCATAATCCAAAGCTTGGTCCTCCTTATATGCCTCTTCATATCCCTCATGATGTGGACCTGGGCGCCACATTCCCCTTGCAATTCCTCGACCCATAGGTCGTCTTCTCATTCCTCCCCTGTCAATTATTTCGTGTGGAGTTATTGGAGGGCCTCGTGGAGGGTACCATTCAGAATCTCCTTCAGCTCCTTCATACAAAGGCTCCTCTAAGCGATCCATAATTTCATGGGGCGGAGGTGGAATGCGTCGCCTGCCTCTTCCTACATCAGGATGCCCTGGATGGCCATATGGGTCGTGCTCGTGGTACATTGGGTGCATTGACTGATCCATGTTGGCATCATCCAACTCCATTTCATGACCTACAGGCTCATGACCCATTTCACCGTGAATAGGGTGAAGTGGACCTCCTCGGCCTCGAGGCATAAAACCAGGGTGCCCACGTGGAGGACGACCACGACCAGGTGGAAATGGGGGTCTCATGCCTCTCATTTGAGGCTGCCATTCTTCCCAGTAGGGTTCTCCTTCCTCAGAACACTCTGCTGACTCAGCCTCTGCCCAGTGCATATCATCTACGTCTCCTCTAGCAACTGCTGGACCCCCTATTCCCATGTGTGCCCCTCCTCTACCTACTGGTGGGCCTCCTCTACTAAAGGGTGGTCCACCTCTCACCATTGGTGGGCCTCCTCTACCCATGGGTGGACCTCCTCGGCCCATGGGTGGACCTCCTCGGCCCATGGGTGGACCTCCTCGGCCCATGGGTGGACCCCCTCGGCCCATGGGTGGACCCCCTCTACCCATGGGTGGACCTCCTCTACCCATGGGCGGACCCCCTCTGCCCATGGGTGGTACTCCTCTGCCCATGGGAGGAAATCCTCTACCCATGGGTGGTACACCTCTCCCCATGGGAGGAAATCCTCTGCCCATGGGTGGTCTTCCTCGCCCCATTGGGGGCCCTCCTCTCAATGGGGGTCTACCTCGCCCCATAAATGGTCCCACTGGCTCCTCATAATACTCTTCCTCTTCAAAGTAATGTTCTTCTGGGACCCATGTGTCTTCAGGACGCACCTCTGATTCATCCTCGCCAAACCCCTGATATGAAGGATCTTGCCAGTAGTCTTGTTGCTCTTCAGGTATTTCTGCATCTTCCTCCGGTGGAATGTAGTCATAAGGCATTTCGTCCACCCCCTCCTCAGTTTGTGCAATATTATGTTCTCTGAACTGGCCAGGGCCCAATTGTCCACGCCCAAGTCCACGCAGTGGAGGCTGGCCACGTCCCCTGCCAGGAAGTAGATTTGGAGGTTCTGGTTTTGGTGCCAACTGGTCTGAACTTTGTAGTTCTGGTTGGATTCCAGCAGTCGTTTTAATTGATTTTTTGTTGTCTATCATTGGTCCATCGTCCTTTTGGGAATTTTGTGGAGGTGGTGGAGGTTTTGATACTGAACCAGAGTCTTTCGTTGATGTACTAGGTTTGTCTTTATTGCTATCATCAGTGACACTTTTATTTTTTGCTTCCTCAGACTCTTTCTTACTTTTTAATGTCTGGGGAATAGGATCATTTTGAATAAAAAAGCCATCTGATCCAAGCAAATTATCATCTGTCAAGTCATCAGCTGTTGACTTATTAGGTATACTTTCATCTTTGTTAGACAGTGGTTGAGCAGGTGTTTTTGGCAAGGTTGTTGAATCTGAACTTGCAGGATTTTGAATGTCGGTCTCCAATTTAGGTTCAGGACCCTGCTGCTGTTTTAACTGAGGGGCTGAAGGAGATTCAAAACGTGGTGGAGGGCAAGGGGGTCTTGAGGAATCCAATCTAGATTGCTGTCCAAAATTAGGCTGGTCATGTCTGGGTGGATTATCGAAGCGGTGCCGTGGCTGGTCGAACCTCGGAGGACCATCAAAGCGCTGCCGCGGTTGGTCAAACCTTTGGGGACCATCAAAGCGTTGCCGTGGTTGGTCAAACCTTTGGGGACCATCAAAGCGTTGCCGTGGTTGGTCAAACCTTTGGGGACCATCGAAGCGTTGCCGTGGTTGGTCAAACCTTTGGGGACCATCGAAGCGTTGCCGTGGTTGGTCAAACCTTTGGGGACCATCAAAGCGAGGACGTTGCTGGTCGAACCTTGGGGGGCCATCAAAACGGTGTCGTGGTTGTTCAAACCTTGATGGACCGTCAAAGCGCTGACGTGGTTGGTCAAACCTTGTCGGACCATCAAAATGCTGCCGTGGTTGATCAAATGTTGGGCCTTCAAATCGTTGACGTGGTGGGTTGAACCTTGGAGGACCATCAAAACGCTGCTGTGATTGGTCGAACGTAGGGGGCCCATCAAAACCTTGTGGTGGTTGGTCAAATCTGCTGGGCCTGCCATCATTAAGAAAATAAAACTAATTTAATGTTGCTTAACAACAAATATTCATATTTATAAACAGCTAATAAAATATAGAAAAACAATATTTGCAAATTGTTGTTAAATGTCAGTCCCACGTCAATATATAAATACCAGTAAAAAACAAAACAAATACAACTGACCTTGGTTCTCTTATGCTATTGAAACTTGATGTTTGCATAGTCAAAGGACCAGGGGGTATGACTCCAACCCCACCAGGAACACTTCCTTGTACAAGGGGTCCATCAGATGATTCTGAATGTGCCACAAAGATAGGAGGTTGTTGGTCTGGAGCTGTAGCACCTGTAGTACTTGCAGCTGGGGCACCAGCAGGACCTGGAGCAGTGGCAATAGCACCAACCACAGTGGGTTGGACACCAGGGTTCACTACTTGCTGCTGCAATGGCATATCTTGTCCAGGGTATTGGCCAAGCTGTCCCATCATAGCACCATACTGGCCTGAGGCAAATGGCACCATAGCAGTAATAGTGGCCACCCTCTCTTGAAGATGAGCATTGGTAGCATTCATCTGCTCTTGCCACTGCTTCCATTGGAGCTCATAGTCCTGCAACTGGTCTTTGTGAGGATAAGATTGAAACTGTTCATGCCACAAAGCAAAAGAACTATTCCAGTTTTGGAATAAAGGTATGAACTGCTGGTGTTGCATTTCATAGTGCCTCAGCTGCAGTTCCGCAGACATTGTCTGCAATAGAAACAAAAATTGATTTTAAGCACTATTTACAAATAAGCAAAGAAACAACAGCAGAAAATGTAAGCTGACGTTATGTTGGGCTTTTACCAACCTGCAGGTTTGGAGGTTGCTGAATCAGTCGTTGATACTGTTCAAGAATCTGCTGAAGTTTTTCATGTTGCTGCATGAGAGCTTGGTATTGCAAGCTAACTCTCTGCTGTTGCACCTGCTGCCATTGTGCTGCTGCAGCCTGCAATTGCTGAAGACGAGCAGCCTCCTCTGGGTCTTTTGGAGCATCAGGCTTCAAACAAAATCAAGCAAAGATTAGGGGTAAGCATATTGTTTTATATCTAACACATGTTTGATATATTTGTAGAACCACAGAGTGCAATTTACAATGAAAATAAATATTTCAAAGTTAAGTCAAAGCACCATTGAGATCACCCACTAAAAGCAGCTAACAAAACACATCTTAAACATTGTTGAAGCTTATAAACAACTAGACTGGAAAATACATTGCTTATGGGTGGAGACCTACAATATCACAAACATAAGATGGAAGACAAATGAAAAGATTTGGATTGTTGGATTGTGTTAAAAAGTAGGGCTGGGTATGTTTACAGTGCAGTTGGTTGCCAAACCTAAATGTGCACATCAGTGTCTTGTATTTGACACTGTGTTTAGATATTTGACATTAGTGGCATCAAAGTCACCATTAAATATACTTGGGCATGTCATATTTTGGAGCAAGGCAACACTGCACACTTGAAAAGCTTAAAATATCCTATATAAAGATTTTCTAATGCCTAATCATTCCTAACACAAAAATGCTTCCCATCTTTCAAACTGGTCAAAGAAGCACTGGTAAATTTTCACCTCAACAGATAGAGGTTCAACTTAGCAAAATTGTGTAAAAAAACATATGTCTCTGGTAATGTCAATTTATGTGAAAATTTTGCAACCCAACCCTACTCAGAATATGGCAAACATTATGAGAACTGAGGCAAAATATGCATGGGCATAAAAATTATGGGGAAAATGGGCAGTAAGACTTACTGTGTCTGTAAAATTAGGTGAGTTTCCTACATTTGCACTCTGTAAAATTATGCAAACAATATATAAATTTAGACTGTGAGGCATTTACATTCTCCTGAAAAAACATATCTTAATATGTTCTTAAAGGCAAATGTGGGACAAACTATTTCAAAATTACTCATCAGCATGTTAGCTGTTTAATAATAAATGCGTGAAAAAGGGTCCTGTGAATTGGTGCAGAGGTAAAATCAATTAAACTTAAATAGTACATTGGAGAATTTCATTGCATTTACATGACATTATACTACATTACACTAAAAGAGAAACAAGAAAAACTGTAGAACAAATGATCAGTATTAACTGCATCACTAAAAGGGCCTTACACAACTTCTCAAACAAGAACTTAACAAAAAATCATTTTGTAAACCTGATAGAGATAATTTATGAATATCAATACAAGTGTAGGAAAACGTACCGCTACTTCTACAGGAGGTGGGGGTGGCACAGGTGGTTCTTCTCTTGGTGGCGGTGGCGGGGGTGTGCCTTTTGGTGGTTCTGAGGGAGGGGGAGGAGGCATTGCCTGACTGGGTGGCTGCGGCGTTAGAAAGGCATTGCCTGCTGTCTGATTTTGCTGGGCTTTCTCCTGCCTCAGTTTCTGTAAATTCTGAAGATGCTGTTTGTACCACACATTCTGTTGATCCTGATAGAAACAACAGCATCACAAAACAAAGTAGGTGAGGATTATGCCGTTTCTTCATTCTTATAGATGTGTTATTGCTTACAGAATTTAGATGTCTTACTTATAAGAAAGTATGTCTCACATTTTTGGCAGTTGCTTTTGGACATTTTCAACACAATAAATAATGAAATCAATTATGGGTAAAGCTGCTTTCACACTCTAAACCAGGGGTGGCCAAGTCCAGTCCTCGAGAGCCACCATCCCGCCAGTTTTAGAAGTATCCTTACTTCAACAGACCGGGATCAGCTCTACAGAGGCCTGATAACGAGCCAGTCATTTGATTCAGGTGTGTTGAAGCAGGGATGCATCTGAAACTTGCAGGATGGTGGCTCTCGAGGACTGGACTTGGCCACCCCTGCTCTAAACCCTTGAATTTAACTTGAACAAAAATAATTTTACTTACAAGATGCTTCACTGTTAAGCCTATCCACCAGGGAGCATGTGTACAATAACACTGACAGTAGCTACAGGTCAACCATATTTACTTTGCTATGATTGAAACGCATTCCTAATTTTCAAAAACAACCAATAAGAGTAAGAAATAAAAATAAGGACAACCAACAGCCACATTTTTAGCAATTTGTTTACCAAAATTATCTTAAATAAAATTTTAATTTTATTGACTACTTTAGATTTCAAACATGTAAGCAGACAGAAAAGACTGCACCAAAGTTGTAGTTTCTCTTTTTTTACTTTAACTGGTAAGAAACAAATAAAAGACAAGACGAAGCATTCATTAAACAAACCACTTCCAAAACAGGCTTCTGCTTTAGCAATGTAATATGCTATTATGCTATGTAATTAAGACTCTTAAAACCATTGCCATTTAAATTTAACTTGGTTTTGAGTTTTAGAAAACTTTAGCCAACTCTTCAATAGAATTCTTTGCTTACTTTTTTATTTATAAAAGGGTTAATTATCTTTGATGACTTATTTCTGTACACATCAAGCCTTATAATTGCAAATAAAGGCGCATTAAACTTTTTTTTTTTATTATCTTTGTCACTTACTTTTCTTTGGAGCAACACTGAAATATTTACCAAGCTGATTTTTGTGCAATTGCTCATACATTCAACAAAACAGTGTTGTTAAAAATATTGAGAAAACAGGCAATTTTAACTTCAGAGGAACAAGTATGAACTTGAGAGAGTTGTTGAAATGGACCCCACTTGAGCAGAGTTGCTAGTTTCTTTGTATATCTCTTTCAGTTCTGCAGATAACACCCCCAGTGTTGGTTAGAGCATTACCCATTATAACTTTTTGTTGTTGTCTGACGCCAACAGGAACCACATATTTTGAAGCAACTATAGACTTAAATCTTGTCATCTGATACCCAATCTTAATTTGCCTCTATGTTTTGGATCAAAAATGTAAAATAATTTAAAGCTAACTTTCAGGATTTTAACTTATTTGTCCAATTTGAAAATAATGCAGTCTTTGTTTCAAACCAAAACAATATCACCAATTTTAAGTCATTACCTGTAAAGGTACGGATTTGTTATCATTCGTGCTGGACGGGTTTGTGTTGCTGGCCACTGGAGCGCCGATGTTTTCCTGCGACTTGGGTGGTGGAGGAATCGTCGGTGGAGGAATCGGCTTGGACTCCGCTGGTTGCGGCTGCGGTGGAGGTTGCGGCTGCTGGCCCTGATTAGGTGGTAGGGGTCCCCTCGGTGTCTGAACCGGAGTCTTTTCCTGCATAATGTACTGCTGACTATTTTCAGCGCCCTCTACCTGGCCCGGTCCTTCTGAATGCCACGGCGGGGCCGCGTTAAACCCACCCGACAGTCCACCTCCAAACCCAGTGCCGCTGTTACCGTGGTGTAACACGGATTGTAGCTGTTTCTGGTGCAACATTTGGAGCTGCTGCATCTGCTGTCGGTGCTGCTCCTGAAGGCTGGAGAACAACGAGCCGCTAGAGGAGGCCTCGTAGCCGCCGAAACCACCAGGAGCCTGACCTGTTCCGATTGGAGGCTTTCGAGGGCCAGGTCCTCCGAAGCTTTGCGGCGGAGGAGCCCCGTAATTCCCCCAAGAAGGAAACATTTTTATAAAACAAAGCCACAGAAGGCCAACGTGATTACATGCACTAAAGGCCCTGGAGTGGCTAACAAAGCTAGCAGTTAGCGTCGACCTCCGCTCTTCAGAAGAAAATAGCTACATTGTCAATTCATTTTATGACCAGCGATACAGTTAATTAGGTTACAAAAACAAAATGAATTGTTATCGCTTGCAAGACCAGTTAGACAGTTTAGAAATCTCACACAAAAAAAATATTTGATACGTTTAGAGACGCTTTGTGTCGTTGAATGGCCGACTATTACAGGAGCACGCAGCTGAAACCGGAAATACGTCACTCATTACGTGATCGTTTCCTATAATAGGACTTAGAAAACATTTTTAAAATATATTTTTTAAAATTGTCATCCCTTGCTAACCTTTTGTGTAAAAGCTCTTACTCGTGTATATTGGCCTTTATCTTACTTATACCGTCACGTAAAACAATGAAAAGCTTTGTTTGATTTGTTCTTTTTTACGGTGGATCATGGCTGTTTCGTGAAGCATGCGTGGATGAGGTGCAAAAGGGAACATCACAAAAAACTAGTATCATGGATTATTATAAAATATCAATAAGACCTTCTTAAAGAGGCTAGGGGTACTGACTGATTATAACATTTGATTTATTTTTGAACATTATATAACCATTCTATTAAAGAATTTTAAAAAAGACGAAATATGAGTATTTTGCAGTGATGTTATTTAGTAACTAATGTTATTTAGAAAGGTATATTTTCACAACATAAAGGATGGTAACCAATACTAGTATTAGATAATGTATGTTAGAACAGTGTAAATTACTTCCAGTGATAATATGCAATGTTAACTGCATATTCAGTTTACCTACAAATGGCTGAACAGTCCCAGCAGATAAAAAGTAACAGAACAAGAAAAAGGTGTATCAAGTCAAACGATTACATAAACTGTAGGTGTCCTACCTGCTTTGTCACTAGACTAAATGCATTATACAATTCTCCCACTAGATGGAGACATTTCCATGGATATTCAAAAGTCTATTTTGATAACGTTCACACCAGTATGACACAGGATGATCATAATTACTGCCGACGAATTAAACACTAAATCACCAATCTATAAAAAAAAATATATGTGTTATCCAAGTAATTTAAACCCAAATATCTAATTGCTGGTAACTGAGATGATTTCCCTCAATTTTTAAATACTTGCTAAAAGTATTTCATTCTCATAATTGGTGCAAGAAATAATATACAAACAGTGCTGTTTTAAAGGTTGTGTCTGTTGTCAATACAAATTTCTTTGACCGCCTAATTACCAATGTTTTGGGTAGTTCAACCGGTAACATTAAGGGTTGTAATTTGTGGTTGTCGTGTGGGTTGAAGCTTAAAAGTTTGGGATCCGTACATGCAATTGGTCAGTAAAACTGTAGAACTTAATCACATATGAATAACCTAAAACGTACAACCGGGGTAGTCAATGCAAATGTAAAAACTGTTGTGTACTGTGGTGTACTAATTCCTCTTGACCCAATAAAAAAAACAAAACAAAACAAAACAAAACAAAAACTACAGTTAAAGTACATGAAAAAAAGGCAATAAGGAATACCAATTTCAAATTGCCATACTGTCTGGGGTAAAGTTTAGTCAAATACCTAAAGATCGGCTTAAAAGAGCCTTCAAAGTCGCTTTGTTTATCAAAAGAGTCAGAGTGGTGGGAGGTAAAAGACCACTGACTTTTGGTTGCCCTTGAGGCCTGATACACATAAAATAATTTTCCTTAACATCACCAGTAAATCTGTTTTAATTTTGACCAGAACCACTTTAAAAGAACCGTTAAAGCGGATTAATCAAGCCGGTCCTGTTTAATGTCTCCCGTTAATTAGTTTGTCAGCAGTGTTTTAATATTGCCTAATGACTTCATATTTCACCAATGACATTCAAGGGGTGTTAAAAGAGGAGAAATGGTCCATTCAGGCCTCAGTTCTTTCACTTAAGGCGCCCTCAGTGAATAAGACAAGGTCAGGGAGGCCTAGCCTTTAGGGAGAGATAGATTATCAGGGGAAGGGGGAAGGAGAAATCCCATAGAGGAAGCTTTCTCCTCTCTAAAACAGCATGACGGGCACAATGTGATACAGTTAGAACAATACACTGCTCAAGGGATTCATGATACAGCTTAAGGCAGCTACACTGTATAGGATGGCAGGATAACTTCACAGTACACAAAAATACTTAGACCAGGGATTCATGCTTCCTTGCTTCGACAGTTTTCATTTACTCTCCTGTAATCTGTTGTAGCAACAATTATAAAACCAAAGTCAGGCTGATTATTGTACTTTAAACGCAATGGAAGTTGGGTCCTTTTGATCACAATCAGCACTTTCTAAAGGTTTCTGAGCAAGAGCAAAGAAATCAGCAATCGTAAAGTTGCGGCTCACAATATTGAGGACACGGCGTTTCCTCTGTGATGAAAATCCTATGTTAAACAAAATGCTCAATGGAGGCTAATAGATCCCCCAACAAGTCCATGCACTGCTTCTAAAATGCTTTGTTTGGCAAATCAATTTTCCCATAACCCGGTGAGGAGAAAAGTGATGCGGATTGATCGCACCCCCCTCGACTTTGTTTCCAGAAAATTGTTTGATGGCTGGATAGATTAATTGGTATGACATTTCAAAGCCCTCTCTTGGCTGTCAGCATCTAAGCCTCAGCGTGGCAATCGAACCACGGTCTAATTGTCTCCTATGTAATACCTCAATTCTTAAATTAGAGATGGTTCCTCTGAACTATTCCTTGTATAAAAGCTAATGCAATCACTGTGCTCAATCAGAAATGGGTTAGCAGAGGGGCGATGCAGGGCTGATAAGGCAGGGTGCATAAAAGGACATCACCCAAACTGCTGCGCCAGCACTCTCTTCACTTTCGATGTGGAATATACAAATCAGATAAAGGCAGTCAACAGGCATCCATTGTGGCTCAAATGTGAATCAGTGTTAGGAGGCTTGTTTACATCACTAAAGCTGGTGAGAACGTAAAGGGAAAAAAAATTCCACTCAAGTCAGGGCTTAATAACAGCTGGCTGAGTATACATTAGCTCCTGGACTCTGACTCTGACTTGATACCACAATGTCAAACCTTAGCAGTGCATCCAACCAGAATAGACGAGTAAATCAAAGGTTTCAAATGAATCTTTTTTGATAGTGCATTTTTTTAAACTCCGGTGTCAAATTTTACTTTGAGCCACACAATAAGTAGCATGACTCAACAATTAAAGTGCAAAAATGTGGATGAGGTTGGAGATTAGTTTTCTCTGCTATTAGAAGGCATAAAGTAAAAAAAAAAACAAAAAAAAAAAACACACAATTAACAATTTTGGTTTCTTTGAACTGTAGTAACAGAAAGCTTATTTTCTTATTGCTGTTATTTTAATGCCGTTATTGCCTTCATAACACCACATTTCTACCATTTTTCTCTCTGAATAATCCATCTAGAAATGTAAATTTAAGAAGGCCAGTTGTATGAGTTAACACAAAAGACTGATTTTGAATTGACATAAAAAATACCAGATCAATGGACCAGAGGGAAAAGCTATTTAATAAAATAAACTACTGATAACGTGTTTCTTTACTTTGGATCAGTGCTTTCAAACTCTGATCCAAAATGGTTACAAAAGTAGGTTGCATTCAATTTTTAATGCATTGAACAATTATTCAGAAGTGCTAATAAACTTATTTTACTGTTTTAAATACAATGCAGGGATATTGGATTTTGAGACTGTTAATCAAGCGGAGCACTTATTTAATTTCTTGAATTAGACCTGATTATTTTCGTTGCAAAAAAACAACAACTGACATTTGGTTTTCTATGGCTAAAAATGTTGATATTCCATTATTTTTTTCTTCATAAAGCAATACAACATTTTATTTCCCAAACAAGTCAGAGTAATGGTGCCGCTTTCGCCCTCCACATTTCATCAACGTTTGTTTACCATTCAAAATGACTAATTGCCCTCTCTTGATTTCCACATTGTGGGCCGGTCTCCTCACAGAGAAAGCTGCTCAGAAGCCATCCTCCCTTCATTTGCTGCGCCTCCCTATCACCCCAACACACCCACTTGCCTTTGAAAACTGTAATTGAATGGGTTTGTATGTCGTCAAATTGATTAATCATATTAATTTGGACTTGTTAGTGGGACGGTTGAGAGCGATGACAATTAGATTAATGAAATTAGTTAATTCTTCTTCTCATGCCATTCTCACATTTTTTAAAAATGAATAAAAAAAAGGAGTCTGTTGTGACAAAATCAGCAATCAAGATTTCGCTGCTAATTGAATGTCTTCCTTTATTAATGATAGGTTTATAAAAAAGACCTTGAGGACGGACTATTAATTGATTAATCAAAATTCTTCAAATTATGCAGAGTATACAAATTAGGAGTCGAAAAACTTGATTATGAAGAATACACTGCCAAAATTTTTTATTCGCTTTATATGAAAGACGAGTCTTTCGCTGGAAAAATATGACCATAATCTCAAGAAAATGCATATTATTAATACTTAATATATATATATATATATATATATATATATATATATATATATATATATATATATATATATATATATATATATATATTTTTTATATATTTATGTATAAAA